TTCTGTGCTGTTTTTTTTTTTTTGATTGATTGATCTGTCTTTTATACACATCGCTGCAGCGTCGAACGCGCTCCCTTCCAGGCGGCCCAAAAAAAAAACCAGCAACACAGCCTACAGCCTCGAACCCGCGACCCGGCCCAGACCCGACAATAAAACACCCGACCGAAAAAAAACGTCTGTCCCATCCAACCGCCGTGCGGGACTCCTTTTCCCTGGGGCCAGGGGAAGCGTCTTCCGAGGACCGCTTTTCCCTTTAAGTATTAGTAGAAATCATTTTCTATCGCTTGCAAAAACCAGGGCGGATACTCTACTACTGACACTGACACCGTGTCGGCCTCACACTGCGTGTGCCCAGGGTGCAACCACCTGCATCCTGGGCTCAACTGCCTCACCCAGCTGCTTCTTCTGGAAGAGCCCAGGGTGAGGCCCAGGTTGCACTTCAACCAACTGGGTTGCTGGGGGCCACAGTCCAGAACATATGCATGTTGCCTAGGGCCCCATGAGGACACATTCCTCACATCACCTTCTGCAGGAAGATGCACGACCCGTCTCCCCAGTGGTTTTTATGTAATTAATTAATTTTTTTATTATTATTATTTAAAAAAAACGAGAGGATAACCAACTGGCCTACGTAGCTCCGTTACACCCGTAAAACGTTGAAATACAGAGGCAGGTTCGAATCCAAATACAATCAGGCGCACAAACCGAGAGGACGGAAAAAGAGATGCCGGAGAAAAAGAAAGAGGGACAGGTACGAACTAGCTGCTGTTCCAACCGTCAGTCTGGGGCTAACCCACCCACCCATTTTACCGCCTTCTCTCCCTTCTCTCTCAGCGCGCACCACCCCTCGGATTTATCGATCAATGAAGTTATCTATCAGCCCGCGAGTGGGTATTTGAAGACACGTGCGCCTCTTTGCATAGGATAGGAGTCCACGTCACGTCGTCAGCACAGATCTATTTTGGTATTCGCCCAGCTCATTCATGTACAAGCGTGGAGCTGCCGACACGTTTCAATCGGAGAGCGAGGGAGGAAGGTGAGGTGGGAATGAAGCATGTAGCTAGCTAGCGAGTGAGCGAGCGAGCGAGAGAGAGAGAGAGAGGGTGAACGACTGGGGATCCTAGTGCTGGTTTCCGTTACTACACCGCAAAACACCGTGCTGGCGTCTGTCGCTGCACACAATGTGTGTGTGTGTGTGTGTGTGTGTGTGTGTGTGTGAGCTGTCTCTTATACACATCTAGATGTGTATAAGAGACAGCCTTGGGACACCTCAGGGTGCAGAAGACAGAAAGACCCTCAGGCCGGGTTTGCGCCCTCTAGAGGATTACCTCCCCCTAGCGCGCGTTTCAGCCAACGCCTGAGCGTCGGAAATAACCCCATGGCTCAGAATAGGTCACTTGGGTATGGACAC